GCTCTTAAAAAATAAATGTATAATTCGACTGTGAAGAGAAGAAAATGCATTCTGAAAAATAATTGTAGATTTAACACCATGCGGTGCCTATACGGGGTGTCCCAAAATTCATGAATCAAAATATCACAACAATATCCTCAAGAAGTTAAATAAAAAACTTATTTGTTATTTTTTATTCTAAACAGTAATTTTTTTAAAAATAATTGGTTTAAATATGACCAATTACAGACTACGTTTAAACTATCACTTATGACTGTGACTGAAGTGAGCACAGATCTGTGAAGCTAGCACGATATTTTGTCGATATCAAAAAAATTACAACAGTTCCAGTAGCATTTTTCATAGTTCTATAGTTCTTTATAAAAATAAATAACAGTTCCCCGCATTAGTAATACTAAAAAATTAAAAATAAAAATATATCGTATTATAACTTCGAGAATTTAGCACGACACTTTCTCCTTTAAAATACTTTTAAATTTAAATTACTTAACTAGTAATTTTTTGAACATTGCGGAGATACTACCGCGTCTCCTGATTGTATTAATATCCATACGGTAAAAATTATATACACGTGTGTTAAATTTACACTGATTGTTTAAAATATGGGAAAGATAAAAGACAAAAATTCAGCTATAAAAGAACAAACTAATGAATGTTTCTACTCACTAAATTCTTTGAAGTGAATATCATTCTAAAGAGTAAAATTTACTCTTAAAAATTGAAAATTCTTTTTTAAAAGTGATAGAATTTTCACTTTTTAGAGCAAGATTCCACAATGGACTTAAAGAATACGAGATAAATTCTTTTACTGGATATTTCACGTGAGTTTCAAGAATTACTAATTGTCTCAATTTACTAATTATTGTTATTAACTGTCTTATTTCGAAGCCGATGATACGATCTTTTGGATACGCGTGTGCCAAACTATGACAGTGTTAACTGACAATCCTCTGATGATTGTCAGACAATTGTCAATGTTTTGAGTTTAAACAGAAGTATGGTACCCTAATTTTGGGGAATTGAATTTTCAATATTTTAGATGTTACGATAAAGCCCTTCTAATCCGAATCCCCTTTTATTTCTCGAACAGCTGTTCCCCTGTCAAGTGGAAGTCTCCTCTTACGTCGCTCTCCCACTATGCCGTTTGCCTGCACGTGACCGCATCGCATGGCCATGCGTGGAGTAAGAAAACGAGTAAAAGACGAAGCGCGAGCGATGACATTTTCGTTTCACATATATTTCACCAGGATAAGACTTTGGGGATTAAGGAACGATTCCGGAATAGATAGGCAGTTCGGTCTCAACGATTCTAGAACATTCTACAAATTCTTCTGTAAAAACACGAAAACTCTATATCACATCAGAATTCAGTTTAAAGTTTTTTTTCGTACGCACCTGTCTCCCTTAATTTTTCTGAAAGAATCAAAGATCATCTACATATTAAGTCACCCTTGTATATTCATTTAAATACTAATATATTGTGAAATAAAAAAAATTAACTAAAACAAGCATTAGAATATTTGGACACTCTTACTTGAACAAAATAACAAAACGGATGTATAATCACTTTTTTACAAACAGAAAAGTTATGATAGTAAATTATTACAGAAAAAGACGAGCAACTATTTCTATCAATATAGAACAACTTTAATCTCGATTTAATTTACTTTTTATTCTTTTCCAATTTTTAGAATTAGAACAAATAAACGGAGTAAATTAAATTGAAATTGAAATCAACGGATATTGGTAGAAATGGACATTAGTCTCTTAGGCCCGGTGCTAAAACTCGATCCGAATTCTCGAACCGAGAAATATGTAGTCAATCAATTTAGTTGTTTTTTTTCGTAAAAACTACATGTTGATTGGCTACACATTCCTGGATCCAAGAACTCGGATAGAGTTCTAGCTGTCTAGCATCGTGAATAAAGGGCTTCACAGAAATTCAAGATGACGCAATTAAAACGTACGTGTCTAATAATAAGTAATAATATAAAAATGAAACAAACGGTTGAAAAATATATAAAACTTTTAGTCCACACGATACTGGAAATCTTGGATGGAAAAGAATATTGATCAATCGTATTGATTATGTGACCGAATTGTTTCAATGTAATATATGTTAATTTTTTCTCTGTCCGAAATCTTGGAGAAGTGGATAAGATTTAAGAAATTTTTTTCTGACACTGAAATGTTGATCTCCTGTGTTTTCGAGAAAAAAATTCAATGTATTTTAAACATCAAACGTGCTAATAAAAAAGCATCTCGATAATTTTAACGTCATTTTCAAAAGTGTATTTTTAAAAGATCAAGTTAGGTCAAGTATAAAAAGTGTAATTGAAAAGATAAAAAATATAACTCCTGTGTCACTTTCATAGCATTTTCGGCTTCAGAGGAAGCTCGAATCGCTTTGCGCGGCAAAATTAATTAAATTTTATGAACTTGCGCTCAACTGATGATGCACTTGGCAGGATCATTACGTCATCAATCGTAGTAGGAGCGATTCACACCCGCTTTAGTCGAAGGTGCCGAGTATTAAAAAGTGTAGGGTAACCAATAACAAAACGGTTAGGCTCATCAGAAAAAGCAACTTAATAATCGTTGTTTTTTCCATATTATTAGTTTATACATTTAGATCAAGTGAGGAACTAAAGGCCAATTATATTCATAAATTATGTAACGTTTGCAAATGCATTTTCTGCATTTTCTGTCGAGTTTTCTGCTGAACGCAACACATAAGACAAGTCGATCTGGGGGCGATCGATCTCGGTGAATATTCAATTGGTTTTTCGTTTCTCTTTGTAGTGTACTTGATACCGATTACGATGCAAGATCCATCGTATCTTTCATTTACTTTTAACCTCCGGAGCTGTCAAGAGTTTTGGACCTACTCAATTTTGTTTAAATTACACTACAAAATTTCGATTACTGTTATTAAAATATATTCTTAGCATTCAATTTTTTTTTATAGAGTTATGTCATTTTGGTTCCTGGAAAATAATTAGTGTCTTTTAATTAATAATTAAACGTCGTTTTATGGACCCAGCCTCAATAACTGTATTATAGATTTGGACGTAAGTTATGGAAAGTTAACGACAAATCTGTCTTTCTCTCTTCTTCCATATACTCATTTTCGTGTACCTCCACCCGCAGTTGAAATAGAGTGATGGACAATTCCATACAATTCGGTAAATGCATTTAAATGACGCTGGGGTAATCTGGCCAGAACCGCCGGTTTAGGTAGTATACATACATGCGCGATATTAACGAAGCCGGCGTACCTCGATAAACACGACGAAACACCGACAGGCTGCTCCGTTCCTCGTGTCGAAGCGTGGCATGCAAAGGACAGTACAGACGAGCCGCCCGGCGTGACACGGACACGGCTCGGGGTGTCCGCCCGAGCGATGCCACTCTGTCGGAGTGTCGACGTCGCTCTGAAGCTTTCAACTGCTCCGAACGTAGTCGCGCTTACGCCGATCGCGCGTTTCTTCACTTCGTGCGATTACGTCCCAATCGGTTCACTTCGCCTGTCGGACGATTCGATGGTCGGGCACCATATCGACCGCCGACTACACTTGATCGCGAGATGCTGCTTATTTGTACGCTTCAACGTCTGCCTGCGGCTGATCGCTTGCTCTCGCGCGCGCGCGCGCGCGCGCGCACGCGTTTACGTGCGTGCGTGTGTTTACTTTGCACGTAATCCTGTGATGCGCGCTTAACGCCCCACGATCCCTCTCCGGGTCGCTCGAGATCACGGAATCCGTTTCGCGGATATATTTGCACCGCTGTCGCGGAAATCAGTGGGCCGACAAGGCACAGCAGCTCCGTCACAGAAACGCGACGCGTACGTCCGCGCATCACGCGCGTACAAGGGCCACTCACGGTGCGCTGACGGCGGCGACCCACGGCGACCGCGCCGCCAGCCGCGCCTCACGGCGCGCGTCTGCACTAAGCGCGCGTCACAGAGTGATCGATAGATAAACGGCGAACTGCGTGCGTCAAATCCCTAAAGTTCGTGTCACACTATAGATACGCATTGGAGAGTTGCGTATTACAGATTAGATTTCAACCAGTCGGATGATTTTAATTTCTATCCGATTTATTCGGATTGGTTAAATTCTAATCTTCATTTCGCTATCTTCAATCTTTAATGACTCCAATATTACTTATAATAATAATGTGACACGGGCTGCTCAAGACAGAAGAGTCGATTGCATGTCTCCGAATAAGACGAAAATTACAATAATGAACAAAATTCACGAGTGTCGATGTTATAAATATTCTAATGAATTTGCATACTTTTGTAATTTACATACTTATGATAATATTCATTTTCTTACGTTCTTATTTAATAAATTATTATTTGAGTAATGTGACGTGATGTGACGTTAGCTGTCATATACCCGGTAAATATTTTTGTGCATGAATATATATATATATATATAAATATATTAAATATACACATACACATATATAAATATTCATATTTTTATAAATAATTGTACGTAAGCGGCCGCCGCTACGTTCTCAAGTGTGATTGGTTAATTCGCTTAAGCCCATGGCACATAGAAAAACTTAAGGACGTAAACGTAATCAGTAAGCGAATTGACCAATCGCAGTTGAGAACGTGGCGGCGGTCGCGATATGTGATATCCAATCAACGTACTGCTTTTCCAGAAGAAAGACCTGTACGTTTATTGGATATCGCTCATCGCATATCATGGTGGTGTACCGGAGCCATAAACGAAATTCAGCCAATCAACACAAAGCAGTTTTATCTTGATTGGCTGAATTCCGTTGCGCGATCGGCAATCTCAATCCGATCCGCGTCCACAATTCGTTAGGGTGACACGGGCTTTTAATCGATTAATCGATTTGATCAGCGGATTACAGCGGATAGCAAGTGCAAATTGTAATTGGATCTCGTGTTGTTCCGACTTTGAGAATTTATTTCCGTTCTCCGATGTTACGATTACTTTGATGTTTGTTACGTGCGCGTTAAAATCCTGCGTACCGCTCGTGTCCGCACAATCTCGCTTGGTGTTCAGGTATCTACACTACCTACGTTTTTCCGCAAACGCGAGTACGCCACTTTCAGCCACTTGTCACTTGTCATCGTCTACGCATACTTGACAGGAGCATCGCGGCATTCGCCGCGTCATCGTGTCGAATTTACATCGGAGTTAATCAAATCGGAGTGGTTTAGTAGAATTGGCGATTTCGCAATTCTTTTGATAGACAATTTCATTATAATATCGAGATATTGCCAGGAATCACGAGCTCATTTCATTGGCGTGTCGGTGGATCTAACCTCAACACGACGCCAAGTGACTTTATCAGTGGCATCTTTATTTTCTTTTTTTTACGAGGTAATACAAAATCTTTGTGCGAGACAATGCGCTATTTTCTCATTATGGAAGTATTGTACGTATGAGAGAGAGAGAAAGAGAGAGAGAGAGAAAAGTGTGTTTGCGTGTGTGCCCATTTCGCGAAATCATCATCAAGGTCAGTAGTGAAATTTGGGTGACAGAAAAAACGGAAAACGATAAATTCGTATCGTGTCTGATGTGAAGTCCCATTGTCGTCGTTTCACGATGACGTCATTTTATCAAAATAACGAAAACTCCCTCGTAGAGAGTTGTATCTGCAAGTAAGAATACCGTCGCTTAGTGATTAATTCTTGACCACAGCCATATGCTATCCAAGCCTGAGAGTTATAATGGAAATTAAAAGAGAACTTGACTTAAGATAAAAAAAAAAATAAAAACTTGACTTAAGAATAAAAAAAATTTCATCTTTACAATAATAAACTGGAAACTTAACTTTATAATCCATGTAAAAGTTTATGTATTATTTATATTTTGTTACATTTATACCTATCTATTTAATAGCTGCGTTTGGTAATGTAAATCTGAAGCGTCGAGTGCTCTTATATTATAGCATATGTCACATGTACTGTAGAAAAAGAGCACTCTGACGCCTCAGATTTGCATTGCCGAACGCAGCTAATATATGTCTAGGGTAAAGTGTGGAGCTATTTTGTTCATTTTTTATAATATTGTCGATGCAAGGAATAAACAGCTGACTAAAATTGTGTACATCAATGCCTACTAATGTCTAAGTACAATAATACTCAAGTAATGCTCAAGTAATATTCAAAATTTGTACACCATAATGTCCTCAGCAGTTTAATCCTCATATTTATGTTTCTCAGCAGCGTATACTGAACATTTAAAGATCATACTTGTTATTGTAAAAAGATATTATTTGTTGCCGTAAATTTTATATTATCTTAAAAATGAAAATGATGAAATAGTTTTGTACTCTATATTTTTAGTATTTTATTATTTTATTGTATTGATACTTTATTAAATATAAAATATTTAATAAAATATTTTAAATAAAGATTATTGTATTAATAATTTTTTTGAACTGTTATAATTTTAATTACGCTTTTGAGGCTGTCACGGGTATTTTCTTCAATTATGCGAGAAGGTTGCGGGTTATCGCCGTGTCTTTCTTCATTTTTAATGTGAACCGTACGGTTCACGAAACGTTGGCATTAAAAATGAAGAAAGACACGACGATAACCCGCAAATCTTCTCGCATAATTGAAGTTATAATTTTGTTTTATAGTGTTTTTGAATATTGTGCAGCACACATATTGATGCATAGATTATAATAGATTAACTAAATTCATCCATTCTTAAAATTTGTATTTGTATTTTCTTCATGTTTAGAAATCAAATTGCTAAATCGGCTTCTGTGACCAATATGTCGACACGAGTGGAAATGCGATATGATGATATAATAAAATCGCAAAGTGACGACCGATTATATAGGGGTTTAGTACTCTCTAATAAAATGAAAGTTCTTTTAATAAGCGATCCAACAACTGATAAAAGTGCTGCTGCAATGAACATTAATGTCGGTAAGTATATTATTTTGTTATTTTGCTTAAGATTTCTAGCGATTCTCATAAGAAGTTTTTATTAAATCATTCTGCATATAATATTATAAATTATAACAAATATATAAAGGAAAAATAAACGATTCTTTTATAAATATATGTTTTTAGTTTATTTTTTAAGTTAACTTCTAAATCCTGACACATTTGTTTAATAACTTTGTATTTTACTTTCCAGTAACAAATTTTTTATGCATGAATTATTTATTAATATGTATATATATTCATCTATAAACATTTTTTATTGAGAGTCTTTGGTGCTTAAATAATTCAGTATAAATTTATATACTATATATCTAAAATTTTGTTTTTCAAGAGAGAGAGAGAGAGAGAGAGAGAGAGAGAGAGAGAGAGAGAGAGAGAGAGAATATATGTTACATCGGCGACCGTATTATCACAAATTGAATTGCCTAGCAATTTAATAATTTGATTCATATGTATTTTATAATAGAAAGATCTTAACAATGATAAATATTAAAATCTGTAAACAATTTATTGCAAAAAATATTAACTCGATCGGGAATTGAACCCGGATCTTATATATATATATGTGTGTATGTGCGTGCGTGCGTGCGTGCGTGAGCATCATAAGCTTTTAGGCCATGAGTCAATATTTTTATATTTTTGTCGTCTATGTATATTTTTCTTAGTCACATTATGTTGTTTACATTTTCTACTGAATTTGGTTGTATTTCATAATAATGGACATTAACATATTTTTCTTAATGATTATCAAATTAATTAATTTCACAAATTATAGATAAAATATGTATTACAGGCTATATGAGCGATCCAGATGATCTACCTGGATTAGCGCACTTCTGCGAACATATGTTATTCTTAGGAACGAAAAAATATCCTAAGGAGAATGATTACAATATATATCTGTCGCAGAATGGTGGTATGAGTAACGCATCAACAAATTTAGATCACACCACCTATTACTTCGACGTAACTCCGGAAAAGTTAGAAGGCGCTTTAGATCGTTTTGCTCAATTTTTCATAGCGCCACTCTTCACAGAAAACTTGACCGAGCTGGAGCTAAATGCCATAAATTCAGAACACGAAAAAAATGTAGCTAATGATTCGTGGCGATGTGATTATTTGGACAAATCATCTGCGAGAGGTCATCCATTTTCGAAATTTGGCACAGGAAATAGGGAAACATTAGATATAATACCGAAACAAAAGGATATTAATGTTCGAAATGAGCTATTAGAGTTTTATGAAAAGTATTATTCTGCAAATATTATGTCACTGTCTATTCTTAGCAAAGGTATAATTTATTGAATCTATTTATGATTAGAACATCTGAAAATATTTATGTAGATATGTATTATATTAACAAATAAATTTTAGAGAGTTTAGACGAACTTGAAAATATGGTAGTGGATCTGTTTTGTGAGGTGCGAAACAAGGAAATTGAAGTTCCAATATGGCCTGAACATCCATTCAAAGATGAACACTTCCGCACTATATGGTATATTGTTCCGATAAAGGATATAAGAAATTTAGGCATTTCGTTTCCTTTACCAGACATGCGTCAACACTACCGATCTGCGGTAATATATAATATATGTATACTGTTCTTTTTTAGCTTTAATACTTTAAATGAATATTATATCTTAGTTTTTTTTTAATGTAATTACAAAAGAAAATATCAAAACTAGATCATTTTCTGTAGTTTTTTTTAGCTGGATACGAATCCGTTTTTTGAATTGTTCCATCATATTACACATTTTAAGAAATTGACAATTAAAGTTACAAGAAAGAGTTATTTTTAAATATTTTGTATATTATATATAACTATGATATGTGACGTGTTGGAACAATATCAAAAATCGGATTCATATTCAGCGTTCTAAATTATGGGAAATGTAGCTTTGTTTCAATGTTAAAAAAATTTTTTTTTGATGAATCGTGTTTTATATATGTACATATGCACATACACGCGTGCTCGGATGCACACGTATGTACGTACGTATGTATATACGTACATACATACATATATATATATATATATATACATATATACGGTGTCCGATAAATTTCGACAAACTGCTTTTGTATAAATAAAACAGACTAAATTGAGTAAAAAAAAAGTCTTCTGCCATTTTGTAATTTTTACATTTTTTGTTACCCACTAAGTAAAATGTCTGTATAAGCGATGCATACAACAACTTTAAGATACCTTAGAGAGTTTTTCAAGAAATATGTTTAAGATTATAAACAACCTTCAAGGAAATCTTAATATTGTCTTATGTGTGCAGTGTTAGTCATATTTAGCTATCTTCAAAAATTAATATCTTATTAATTGTTGCAAAAATTTTAAAATGATACAGGATTTTTTGATTTAGTTTAGTCCGCTCTATCTGTGCATGAAATGTTTTACAGTTATTTGGGACACCGTGTGCGTGTGCGCACGTGTGTATACATACATATTTTTTTAACGCTTACATTTATTGCTATTTGTTAATATAGCCTGAGCATTATGTTTCTCATTTACTTGGACATGAAGGAAAAGGCTCATTATTATCGGCTTTGAAATCCAAGGGATGGTGTAACTCCCTAGTATCCGGAAAACGTCCTGCCGCTAGAGGCTTCAGTATTTTCAATATTATTGTTGATTTGACCGAAGAAGGTATTAAGCATATCGAAGATGTTGTTCTACGGGTATTTCAGTATATTAATATGCTTAAGTTGAAAGGACCAATCAGATGGATCTACGATGTAATTGAAGAAATAAATTATAATTTTATGTAGACTGTGCTCAGAAAATTATGCTATCATAATTTACCAGACATTTTGTGCTTCAATATCGTATATTAAATATAAAATAACATGTATTTTGTACATTTGCAGGAATATAGAGATATTGCGAATATGAACTTTCGTTTTAAGGAGAAGTCTTCTCCTCGTAATTATGTGAATTTGACGGTTCAAGCGTTGCAAGAATTTCCCATGAACGAAATTTTGTGCGCGGAATGTATTTATCCAGAATGGCGACCGGACTTGATTGAAGAAATAATGACATATTTGACACCGCAAAATGTTAGGATTCACGTGGTTGGAAAAGCATATGAAGATATAGCGGATGAAACTGAAAGGTGGTATGGTATTAAATATAAGAAAATGAAAATATCCGAGGAAACAATGGAAATGTGGAGCTCCGCTGTCTTTAACGATGACCTGAAATTGCCTCCCAAGAATAAATTTATAGCAACTACATTTGATATCAAGCCACAAACTAATGTAATTAAAATTATAATTTTTTTATAATATTAATTCTTGATCACATTGTGATATTCAAAGCAAAATATCGATGAAGCGTGAACTATACTGTAAAGTTTGATATGAAATAGAATTTAATTAAATGTTAGAGTAGCTTAAAAAAAAATTCTGTCTCCTTATACATGTATATTTATACATGTATGTATATAGTTTTTATGTAGTGATAGTAATTATGTGTAAAAAGTGTTTGTGAATGCATATTTTTGTATTAACTTTACAAAAATATATGCCGAGGTTTAAAGATTGATAAGTTTGCAACAAGAAAGCTAAGACAACAGAATATAGACCACAGAAAGCTAAGAGATTGTAATACAAAAAGTGCAATGCAATAATTTTGACTTTGACTTGTTTTTGCATATGAAATTGTCTTTTGCTCTACTGTATTTGATCTTATGTATATGCATGTTTGCATGTCATCGTATGTATTAACAGGTATAAATTTTACAGATAGAAAAGTTTCCTATTATTTTGGAGGATACATCATTTGTTAGACTTTGGTATAAAAAAGATGATGAATTTCTTGTGCCTAGAGCAAGAATGATCTTCGATTTTTTCAGGTATGTATTAAGAGAGTGATTGTATGAGATACGTTGCTACTATAATTGATTAATGTAATACTGTGTAAAGCCCGATCTACAATTGCGTAAATGTAATTGTAAAAATTGACTAATTACAGTTGAATACAAGCAGAATATCCAACTGTGATTGGAAGATTCTTACAACTACGATCACTTACAACTACGTTTATGCAATTGTAGATCAGGCTTAATACCGAATGTAATATTGTATAATACCAAAATATTTTTAAATGAAATTTTGAAATATTCTGACAACTTAAACGATTGTAATTATTAATTTACATTATGATAAGATTAGATATTAATGTGCATAGAAAATAATATTAATAAGTTGGTTATTACTGAAATTACATATTTTAAAAAAATTAATTTTATTTTGCAATTATGATTCTTAAAATATTGTTATTTAAAGATGAGAATTAAATATAATCTTTTATAACAAAGAAATATTTTTTCGTGATTATATATAATGTTTATTTTTTTTCTAATTTATAGCCCATTTGCCTTTCTGGATCCCCTTAATTGCAATTTAACTTACATGTTTATTAAGCTGTTTCGTGATTCTCTTAACGAATATACATATGCTGCTGATTTAGCTGGTTTACAATGGGAACTTGGTAATTCTGAATATGGAATAACAGTGAGTACACATATAATAACAAGTAATGAAGTATAATGTATATTATTTAAATAAATTTGAATGTTTATTTGAATAAATTATTGTTCAATTTGTTATTAATATTAGTAACGTTTAAAATAAACATTATTTCACGCACATACATAAAATATTCAGAGAAATTGTTTATTTCTTATTTTTAATTAGTTATTCGTCATATGCTCAATTTTATTCCTATGTAATAATGTGTGTCAACTGTTTTATAAAAATACATTCATAATTTAAAGAAAGATCAATTCTTTTTATAGCTCTCTATAAGTGGTTATGACAATAAACAACATGTGCTGTTAGAAAAACTCATGGATCGAATGATAAATTTTAAGGTTGATCCAAAGAGATTTGAAATCCTAAAGGAAAAAGTATGTATAATAAATACAATCAATATTTTTCATTTTATTAAGCAGCATATTTATGTAGAATTATTGCAGTATATTAGGAACTTGAAAAACTTTGCTGCTGAACAGCCTTATCAACATGCTGTTTATTATCTTGTAGCTCTATTAGCAGAGCAATCTTGGCTTAAGGAAGAATTACTGGAAGCTACTGCCTGTAAGCATAAAAGAGAACTTATATTTTTTGAAAAAAATATTTTCTCTCATACACACACGTTTCTTTTAGTTTTTAGAACAATTACAGCACATATTAATGACATATAATTAATATTTCTATGATATATAGATTTAAGTGTTGAAGGACTACAGAAGTTTATACCACAGCTGTTCAGTAAGGTGCACGTGGAATGCTTAATACATGGTAACGTGACTATAACAGAAGCTACAGATATACTTAAATTAATTGAGTCTAAGTTAACAACTGGAGTGCCCAACATAATACCCTTGTTAGAAAAGCAACTGTTATTATCCCGTGAAATTAAACTAGAAGATGGTAAGGATCCTCCAGGCTGAGGGGTTGGATATTAGACTAACAACCTAATTTCGAAAAAATCTATTATTACGGATACCTCATAAGAGGTAGACCTTGTCCCATCTTGGAATGTTGTGCCATTGAATGGAATGGAATATATATGTTTTTTTTTACAGGTTGCCACTTTCTGTTCGAAGCAGAAAATAATTTACATAAAAGTTCTTGTACAATGGTATATTATCCAACTGGTTTACAATCAACGGAGTCGAATATGCTCTTAGAACTCTTAGCACAAATCATTGCGGAACCTTGCTTCAATACCTTGAGAACGAAGGAACAATTAGGCTACATAGTATTTAGTGGTATACGTAGAACAAGTGGAACACAAGGCTTGCGAATCATTGTACAAAGTGATAAACATCCACAATATGTCGAAAAACGAATTAATTTATTTTTAGACTACATGTTGGTAAGTATAATATTTTTCATGATAAAAGATATTATATATCTGTGTTGGAAACAGTCCACTATTTTTGTTAATCGTTTGTATCGAATTTTTTAACATATTCAAGTATTAATTTAATATAATAGTTATGTTATTTAAAAGTTTTGTGTTAAATGATATTTATTAGTGCCAAAATGACATAATTTATTATGAGTAAGTGAACAAGTAAAATAATAATATGTTTTAAAATGTAAATTCTAAGATAAATGAATGAAATACGTTTTTTTCCATTGCTTTTGTGTAGACAAAGCGGACTAAACTGTGTCGAAAGATCTTCTACCACTTCGCAATTTTCGCAATGGTTAACAAGATATGAATTTTTAAATATACCGGACACAGTTTAGTCCGCTCTATCACAAAAGCAATGGAAAAAAACTTACGTAACACCTGTATAGTATGTGAATGCATGAACATGGAACTACATTTTCTTATTTATTATATATCTTATAATACATTATAATAAAATATATTGCTCAATTTTTTGTGATAATACAAATATTTTTATTAAAGTTAAAATTACTAATAATTCCAGAATCGCATATCTACCTTAACAGAAGAGCAATTTGAAAAATACAAGAAAGCTTTAGCTACGTTACGTTTAGAAAAACCAAAAAGGTTAACTGCAAGGTGTGCCTTATACTGGACTGAGATTGTAAACCAACAATATAACTTTGATCGAGTCAATATCGAAGTGGCTTACTTAAAGACGATATCACTGCAGCAATTACTTAATTTCTTTAAGGTAATCAATTTACTCTTATATATAGAACATATCACTTAATGTTACTCTGAAAGGGAAATATTTTATCATAAAAAAGAAATAGAAAATGTACAATGATTTTTTTTTATATAAGATATAATTTTCGAAAAAACTTCGATAATTGAAAAATTAATATAATACATCTATCATATAAAATATATCTTTTAGGAAAATGTACATAGTAAAACTCGACATAAATTGTCAGTACATGTGATCTCTACGGCAACATCAACGGAAAACAATTCACTTGATAACACAGCTGATAAAACTGCCGATTTATCAATTGATAAAGAAGTTAAGAAAATCGATGATATTACATCATTTAAAAATAGTCAATCTTTATATCCTCTACTTAAACCGCTTGAAAAATATTTTCTCAGGAAAGGTGTACGCTCTTCTAAATTATAAAAAAAAGTGGTGATGAAGTAATAGTGAATAAGATGAATAAATTTACTTTTATGCATAATTTGTGAAAATATTGATGCATTATTTTAGAGAAATTAATAAAATTAATGTACTTAAGGTAATTCTTTAGTAAGGTGTCGAAAATTTAGGGTGCTTTATCAAGACCCACCCAAAGACACAATTATCTGCATAATTTAAATAAAGTATTAAAACTATTTTAATGAAATGATATGAAACGTATGATAATAAATCAAGAGCTGCATCTTCACTAAACGAAAACAAGGTGACATTATAGTATTTACTTTTAAATTTGTATGCAAGTTTGTGCATGTAAATATTTTTCCAGAATTCTAGAATGACCGTTGATCTGTTACTTTTTTGTAACCATATTACAATCATAATTTTGTAAACTGTTATAATTTTGTTTTTTAGAAAAGTCTATAATCCAGACAGCAGACAATATTTATAGTATATTTACAAAATATTTGTAAGATTTATGTTTAATATTTTTGTAATCTTAGATTGTACAATACGTATTCCTCACGAAAAATTGAGTCAAAAATGTTAATAGCAAAATATTGAGATGTCAATAGTTTTTAAATGGTAAGCCTTTGAAACTGTCAAATTACAGCATGTAATAATTGTTTATTATTTAAAATGTGTATTTCTAAAATATACTCTTTTTAATAATATTTTGTCGAATTTGCAATTAAAATTACTCTTCGGTAATTAAGGAGGTTTTCTCTTTACTTCGGCAAATAAAGAGAATGTAATATGTTAAGAATTACTTGAAATTTTGACATAGCTTTATCTACAAAGTGTGTTTTTTAAATTTGTTCAGATTTTTTTTATCAGCGCATTTTTCTGTAATAACAAAATTTTGGATTTCATATTAGATGATCTCTCTCTTATGGAAGACTCGTATGTATCTGTTTTCAACAAATATAAATATTTGCAATGTTAACAATCGAATAAATTTATATTTAACCCTCGGACAGCGGGACGTCGTGATACTCGCATGCACGGTGGACGCAAAGTCAAAAGTGACCCCCAAAAGTGAAATTGATTCAAAATATTTGAGAAGCAGCTTTTTTATTAAAATATGTAGTAAACTATTTCAAATATGTGTAGGAAGGGACATAAAAAGTTTTTACTATCTATTAGGCTCGTATATACCTATATATATAGAGTGCTTTCCAATTGATGACACAAGTCGACACAAGTATCGTTCTATCTTTCTTGACATTTACAGATTGACAAAGATAGAACGACACTTGTGTCGATTTGTGTCATCAATTGGAAAACACTCATAGTCGTTTCTCAAGATATTATAATTACTAAAATATTGGTTTTCAAGAATTTTTTACTCAAGTACTATTAACTTTACAGAAAAATAGTAAAAGACAAAAATTATTTTTTTTTTTTCATAAAGCTTTAGAAATTTTTTCAGAATTTTTTATCAACCGTTTAGTACTGCATTTTCTTATTAACAATTATTTTTACCAAAATAAGAAAATATGGTACTAAAAAATTCTTGAAAACTAATATTTTAGTAATTATATCTTGTTAACTATTGCGAAAATTACAAATTGCCAGGCCGTCCCGCACTCCGCAGCCTTCCGCGGCCCGCGCGCAGAGTATTTTGTAGGCGTATACTTGATGGCAGTGGTAGACCGGGCGAACGTGCGTATTCTTTAACATCTTTAAAAGTTAATATCTCGTTAACTATTGCTTAAATCGCAAAACGGTACAGGACTTTTCGACTCAGTCTGTTTTACCCATGCACGAAACATGCGGTTATTTCCTAACACCCTGTATATTAAAGAGAAAAACATATTTAATTTAATTCGATTATAAAATTTTAATTACACTGTATTTCAATTACTCATCATTAAAATAATCAGCAATTGAATTAACTGAGAAAAACTTGAATTATATAATTCAATTACAATGTATCTGAATTACAATGAAATTGGAAATACTGGAAATACAATGTAATTAAATTAGCACAATTCTGCTATTATTTTATTATTATTACTATAATATTATTATTAATATTATAAAATTTTTATTTTAATAGTTGCAACTGTAGTAATACTGTATTGATGTATTACCTTCAACCAATTATCTCACAAAGCAGTACGAGACGAATACGTACGGAGCGCGTATATAAAGATATTTCTCGATCATACAAAATTAAAAAAATGCATTTTTGTATTCATGCAACATGAATATATTATATATAGTTTTTAGCATAAAATGTTCTTTAATTATTATCGTTATAAAAATATAAGAAAAAGTATGAGGAGATGGGGAATATATAATTGAAAATAAAAAGTTTAAGAAACTTTCTTGGTAGTAAGCTACATCATTTTAAAAGAAAAGTTCTTTAAGGGCCTTTTTTATTAACTTTGATTAACGCTAATCTATGGTTAATTCAATCATTATTCAATCGTATATATTTATCTACACATATACACATGTATAATATATATAAAATAATTATAATATATGGTATATATATAAAATTACGAATTTTTTCATTTTTAAGCAGCATATATGTAGATGATTTATTTATGTATATAAATAAATAAAAATATAAATAATATGCGAGAGAATATATAGCAATACAAAATTAATAAATTTTTTATATTTGAATTTTCTCTTTTTATTTTTTTGTTACAAAATTATATGTTCATTATATACAAACTATAAACTAAGCAACTATAAACTAATGAGAAGAGTAGACTTTCAAAATGCATTTTGTCCAAAATTTCATTTTTTGAGTTAGAGATGGTATAGTATTCAGTGTTGAAAGACTCATTTCATAATATTCTATGATATTCTGAAAACATTTTTTCACGTGCCTCAATTATATTTTTTTCAGTTTCTTTTTTTTAAACATTTTTTATTTATAAGAATAATTTTTAATTATCTCTTCTTTATTGCAGATATATTATTAAGTTTCAGGATCTGAAAGAATTATATTTGTAAATATCAGATCATGAAAAAATTTACATATGTTTTCTTTTTTATTATTCTTTATTTAAGAAAAAAATGAAACAAAAATTAATTTTTGTAAGTTTTTATTATTTTGAATAAAAAATATATATAATCACTACATGCAAGATATCCCAAAATTTGCGTCTCAAAATACTATAGCAAGATAGTTCTCGAAAAATTAAATAAAAATTATTTGTTTTTTATTTTACGCAATATTTTTTAGATAATAAGAGTTTAAATATTGCCAATTACAGATTAAGGCTACAGTCCACTTAATACAAGTGTTTCGGAGCATTTTTGATTGGTCAATTAATAAAATTCTTTCTTCGATTAGTGAATCAACAGCTCTTCGAAACATTTATAGCGCTAAATAAACCTATACCCTACGTTTAGAACATATCCATGTCTTGCATATACGGTATTATTAGTGAGTGTAGATAAGCGCATTCATTTTTACATACTCATTATCTAAATATTCTAAATGTAGTATGTAGAATGAAATATGTATAAATGACCATATTTAAACTCTTATATCTTAGAAATTATTAAGATAAAAATTTACAAATAAATTCTTTTATTTAATTTTTTAAAAAATTTCTTTGCTATCGTATTTTGAGTCACGAACTTTGAGACATTCTGTATAATAAAAAAACGATATAATCCTGTATAATGATATTTATAAATTTATATATCGATTAGTATTTTGCAATAATTAATAATTGATTTATACCTGAACTTTTTTTTCTTTTGTGCTTCTTATTGGAAATTTTCAACAATTTTGAATTTCTCTTTAAATCTGTTTGGTTTTTGTTCAGTGCTTTTGGCACAGAAGAAACAGTACTATTAGATTTCAATACATCCGAATTTCTTGAATCTTGTGACAATTTTTCTCGTATAGTAATAGTACTGATGTTTTTAATATTTACTATAAAATAAAATATAACGATTTATAGAAAATTTTTCACTTGCAATAAAAGACATCAAATAAAAGATAAAATATAGTGTGCTTCAAAAATAATTTTTTTATATATTTTATCTTATCTTATTTTTCTACATGTATATTATTTCTATTAGAAATTTATAATTTCTAATAGAAAGAATATATTGTATATTACAGGACATTTTTATTTTATAATTAATATATGAAATATAATATTCCTATTTATTAAAAAAAGGAAATATTACTTACTGATTTTATAAGGCTTCTGTTTTTTACCAGTAGCAAAAATACAAGATGTGGTACCTATTTCTTTGCATACAATTCTGTATTTACTTTTATTAAATTTTATTGATTTTTCTTTCAATGTCAATACTTGATCTTGCAAATTGCTTTGCAATACCTATAAAATAATTTAAAGATTAAATTTTTAATAAGATAAACTTGACACATCTAAAAAACAATTTTTTTAAAAACCTTTTTTTTATTTTTATGTAAGCTAGCGTCTCCACTTTGAAAAACAAAATTTATTTATTACATAATTATAGATATACATAACTACTAATTAATTACTCAAAAATTTTTATTTTCTATTATATTTTATGATTGGAGACAGTGTCAAATAAAATATAATTAGAAATCTGCATTAACAGAGATGATATTGATATGTATATATTTCTTAGTGATTTTTAAATCATAAACTAATAAATTCTAACTTTGAAAAAGTATACACACAGGATTTATGTACACACACGCACGCACGCACGCACACACACACTGTTTTCTGATCCATATTTACCACCAGAATTATACTAAGAACTATTCGTGTTTCCATAGTGGCAGTGAAATGTCATTTTCGATAATAGTATCTGTTTGTGACGTCACAGCCCGAAACATTTCTAACCAAACGCTACTATGATATCAGAACGAAAATACGTCTATATATATATATATATAAATAAAAAAACTAAAAAATATACCTTGTTTGGAACATTTAAGATAAAAGCTTCTTCGTATTCAGAAAGATCGGCTAATGTAAAATTTGCTGGTATTGTTTCCACAAATAATCCTTCATCTTGGACTAGTTGTTGTAACTAAAAAAATGATATAGACATTTTCTAGTAAGGTCACAGTATAACATAGTAAATCATTTCATTCTTATTTAATGTTGGTGCAAACAACAAGGATGTAATGATTCACTGTGTCCTTGCTAGAAAACATTCTATATTAATTATAAAAGTTCGTAAATAATATCTACATTAAAAATTTGATTCTATGAACATTAATTTAGTACAAAATCTATCATTTTTGTCGATAGTTTTAACTCATTTTTTAATTGTTCTAAATAAATTCCAAAATTAATTCTATCTTGTTATGTGTACAAAGAATGTATTTTATTGTAGAAAAAAAAGAAAGAATTTATATAATTTCTCTTAAAATATTTCAAGCCAAAAGGAATAATTCTGATATTGTTTAGAGTTACTTACATTGCATGGTTTATATTGGTAAGAGCTATTAAGATTTGTGTTTGAACATTTGATTGATGCTCGGGTACTTTCCTTGTGTTCAGATTCATGTTTTGTCTTAAGTTCAGTGTTTATTGCTTCTTCATCCTGATTACTTTTAGTACACATGATTTCTTTATCTAACATAGATTGTTTGTGTTTTTGAAATGCATTAATAGATTTAATATTATACGAATCGTTATTATTAGAGGTTTTTAAATGAAGGCTTTCAATTGACTTTTCTTGACTTCGGTTATCATTATGTACATTTTCACAATTTGGCGTTTTCTGAAATGGATTTTTATTTGTTGTAGATTGCAATGAATCATTATTCTCATATGTATAACTTGATTCTGTATTTTTGATGTCTTCTTTCATATTCATTGAATCTAATTTTACTTCTTCTATAGTAACTGACGTAATCTCTTTGTGAATGCAAATATTTTCCTTACATAAAATGTCATGTGTTTTGTTTTGTTTAGAAGCGCAGTTGGTTTCGTCAATCTGCTTGGTTGGTTTCTTCAAGCTGTTGTTTTCACTACAATGGCTCGAATTTGAACTATAAATATGTGTTGGCGAAGTTTTGGTGATTAAATTAATTAAATCGTCATCACTTTCACTGGAATTGCTGTTTACTACTAAATTCAATCTTGCTTGCTGCTGAAGTCGCTTTTTAGTTTGAGGTGACATATCATTCATGTTTTCCTCTTCATTATCAGTTTCCAATGGCGTTAATGTTTCAATGAATTCACTATCTTTCATTGTTTCGAGTACTTCCTTAATATTTTTCAGTTGAGGAGACGAAATAAGAGTTTCCTCCGTGGCTTTTTCTATATTCCGACTCATTGGAATCTTATTACAATTTCTGCTCTTGACCAACTTATCTTCCGAATCTTCATCAATTCCAGAGTCTTTTTGTTGATCCTGCATAGCATCTGATGGCAAATTTTTATTAGGTACATTTGTTCGTATTTTTTTAAATGGTGTACTGTGGTGTTGATCAAAATTTGCAATATCTGGAAGTAACTGATCATAACTCAGTTCACCTCTTATACTTTTATTTGTATTAATATCTTTGTTATTATTTGTAGAATCAATATTTTCTAGTGCTAGTATCAAGTTCCTTTTAACGTTTTTAAACAATTCTTGTTTGTGAATCATATGAGCACTGTCACAATTTTTCAAACTTTCTATTACTGCAGTTGATCTGTTAATGTTATTTGTTGATTCAACAATTTGATTTAGTTCATTATCAGAATTAGTACTTTTTTCTAAACTTGCCGGTTGATAATGTAAATCATGAGAATTGAATTCAATATTTGATACATTTATTGTTGTATTATGATTATTTTTATTTTGTACCTTTCTGTCACTTACAGGTTTTGTTGTATTGGATATCGTATTATTTTCGGAACTCAATTCATTATCTATTGCGTCAAAGTCTTCATGATTCTGTCTTATGCATTTATTTCTAGATTTCATTATACTAGATGTCGAACCATTTTGAGAGTCAAATTGTGGAGAAAGAGATTGCTTGCTAGATTGAGCTCTCAAACGAATATGATCATTATCCTTCAAAATATTTCTTTTATTTAAGATATTTGTATGCAATTGTTTACATAATACACTATTGTTTTTATTTATCACATTTTGCCAATCTGTATTAATACATTCCGCAGACACTGCAGTATCTAATCGCGGTGATTTTCTTACTTCTATTCTTCTTTCTGTGTTTTTGTCTCTACTTTTCTTCTTATGTGTAACAGTTTTTCTTTCATAGCCTTTGCAGTTATCCTCACTGACCAAAACATAATTCTGAATAGTTTTGACTGCATATTTGGCCCGTTTCAATGGAGAATTATATATAATATCATAGTCGATATCACTGAGACTGCTACTATCACTAGTATCAATATTATTTACTACGTTTCGTATGACATTACTTTTCAGTTCTACATAGTGCTTGTAATCTGCCACACCACAATGCTTTTGCATTGCAGCATTGAGTACTTTTGTCCTCTTTTGTATTTTCCGTGGTCTAAATTTGTGTATCAGGGAGTTCTCAATCATTCTGTCCGTAACATAATTGTCCGTGATTTCCCATGTAATGTTCTCATGGGAACACATAGCTGACATTGTATTTATTTATATCTAAAAATATAAAATGGCAAATATTAGCACATATATGACTTTACTTGTTTGAAGAAAATTTATTATTGCATATCTTTATTAGTGAAACACGAAAGAGATAATTTTAAAACTATTGCTCAATATATATTGTGAAAGGGATAATATTTTATTTTATTAATTTCTTATTTCATTTATTATTTTATTAATTTTCTTTAAAAATATATCAATCATTATATAAAGCATCTCAATAAACTAAATTAATATAACTGTATGCAATTTAGCAGTAATATTCTACCACATCAATAAGGAACTCTTGTACTTAATGAAGTTGAACAGACTTGTAAGTTAAGGATTTCAGAAAATTGTCTTGGAATGTCTATATAATTTGTAGTATCTTAACTGTATACATTAAACAGAAAATTAAGTTTTTCTTCAAAATTAATTTAATTATTATGAAATTATTTATAACTAGACTCACAAAAAATAAGGAATAAAAAAAAGAAGAGACAATAATAAGATGAGAGAATGAGAGATAATAAATCCCAAAAAATAGTTTTATAGGAAATTGATGAAGAACTACATATCTTTGATATAAATAAAGTCATATTGTCCATTAAGAAAGCCACTAAGATGTATTTTATTTTGAAGAAATTATGTAATTAAATTAAAGAACAGTATATTACATTGATAAAAACAAACATAAAAAAAGTAAAAATAAAAACCAAGATTCTGCAAAAAGAGCTGTTATTATTTCTCCATTTAGTAGATTAGATACATGCTGTAACATAAAAATAACTAGAAGAAAAATTTTTCTCACATGTTATACTATGTTGTGTTAAATATAGTAATTCAAATCAAGTTGAATAAGTGACATAGACGACATGGTGTGATGTGTGATACAGTGTATCAGCACATCTTTGTTGTTCGCCAATGTTAAACAAGAATGAGATGATCACTGTGTTATACTATGTTGCTTGTTGGAAGGCACACAGAATCTAGTGATATATACAAAAATAAAGTATATGCGCAAATAATTAAAAGAGAATTTATTGCTCTGTTTTTCGATTTTCTGTTTTCTGCGATGACATTGGTGAGCTCACTAGCAAGCGTTAATATAATTTTAATAATTTTGTAACTAAGGATATAAGAACAGTAGACTACATTGTATTACTACAATGGTTTGTTATTGTTAATTTTATATCATATCATTTGCAATTAAAAAAATTAATATTATTCTAATTTCATTATAATTAAAAAATTGTGTTATTGCATACACGAGTTGTATAAAAATAATATTAAATATATTAATAATATATCGATGTAATCTTATTTCTCTCTCTCATTTGAATAAATTTATTTATATATTGCAAAATTGTGTACACTGAAATATTAATATGAAATGCGCATTGAAGTTTTTTAATATGTCGCATAATAAAAGCGAAAAAATAAATATGCCATCATTGGTGTTTTTGCTAGTAGGAGAAAAAGGAATACCGAAAATTACTCCACGTGTTTTGAAGCACATGGTGTCCGTTACGAAAGCATTATTAATGTTACCTTCTGATATCATAAAAGCAAAGGATTGCACAGCCGTGAAGAAAAAATTGATCTCTTTTGGTCTCTTTCACAATCAGATTATGTCTTAAATTACTAAATCGCTTTCTTTAGATAGTAAATTAATAAAGTCCTTAAGGCGATGCTGGAGAGACGGCCGAACTTAATTGATGTCGATAAAACAGGATATTTTCATGATGTGTGTAATATTTTAATTCCAATTAAAATATTACATACATCATGAAAGTATTTACATACATTAAGTAAAACATTACGTATATTAAATAAGCCATTAAGTAAAACGTTATGTACATTTCTTGTTCTACTATATCCTATATATATCTTTTGAATGTAAGGTTATGTGGTCAATTTCACGTCAATTTCACTCGTAGCATATCAACGAAATTTTTGGAGACTTCGTGCTCTTATACTAAAGCACTTAGCTCGTTTCTCCAAGCATAGTATTGTGCCTTGAGGATTCCTGTTGTCCGATTGATATCGTTTTTTAACGTGCAAGACCTGAAATTATTATATGCAGCACATATATGTGGCGAGTCGACTGCAGAAGCCGATAACAAAACTGTAAGTTTTTAATTTTTTTTTCGTTTTTCGTATTAAAATGAAAGAAGCGGACTATGTTATTTGTCGATACTTTAATTGTGGAGAAGGAATTTTCGATCCATAAAGGCAATTAAAAATGCGAAGTCTCCAAAAATTTTGGGTAAAACAGGACACTCCAGCATCCCTTAAGTAAACTTTAGATAGTATCTAAATTAATAAAAACCTTTACCGAAGTTACTTCGCGTAGAAAGTCGAAACCCATGTGGACAGAGGGGTGTACAGACACAGTAAAACTTAGGTTCGGGGCGGCGTAGCTCCGAATACATGTAGTGCTCAACTGCTCACTGATATGTATATACATATCAGTGGTAGTGCTACGAGCATGGTAAAGAAATACAAGGTATGCTCACGCGCATGATAGCTCCAGATAACCAATGAGAATTGCAGCCAGCTGACGTCATCATTACGCGGCAAATCTAAATGGTTAAAAGAGAAGTAAATCATGGTAGTGTCAATACATTAAGATAAGCGAAAGGATTTTTTTTTTTTTATTAATTACTTAATTAATAACACTTTTAATTTGTAATAAAATCAGAAATGGAATTGTATATTAAGAAAATAATTAGTAATTAATACGTAATTTACATCTGTAATGAATGCTGTTCATTCTTGAAAAGTTGATATTTTTTAAATTAAATAAATTTAGTAGCATTAATATTATGTTGTATTCATGTAATTGAACATTAAATAAAATTACATTACATTAATTAATTAATTAATTAACATTAAATTGACATTAACATTAACATTTAATTATTTACATTATTTAATTACATTACATTTAATTATAAATAATCGTATATTGTAAATTATTGTACATTATGTATAAAAATAATGAAATTGCAGTACCTAAAAAATTGTGAGGGTTTTTTTGAAAGGAAAAGAAAATCGTAGTCGTGTGAAATTACATACTGAAACAGTTTAATTATTTACAAATTTTAACACTTTTCTTATTTTTTCTCTTTCTATTTTGCAATGATATTTGACGATTAATTTCTCGTACTCGGATGTACGTTCGCGTCCTTACTAAACATAAAATTACTTCTTTAGGTATTTCGATTTTACCGATAATAAAGTGAATAGAGAAAAATTATGTTTTTATGTGGTCAACAAAGAAACGAAGAAATCAGTTTACAGTTTACATAAGTAAGTTTAACGACAAATTTTAATTTTTATTAAATATTTTAAGCAATCGATGTATTTTCATCATTTGTCGTTAAACTTATGCAAACTGATTTCTTCGTTTCTGTGTCGTCCACATAAATAACATAATCGTCTTACCCTATCCATTTTATTATCGGTAAAACGAAATACCTAAAGAAGTAATTTTATGTTTAGTAAGGACGCGAACGTACATCCGAGTACGAGAAATACTCCACTTTTCGTTTACGACGACTCCTTTTTTATCTCCTTATGTGGAGCATAGGACGTCTATAAGCCTCTTCCTCTTTTGTCCGAGACTTATATTCGTTTCTCGAATCAGATTGTTTTTCGGATTTGTGGGTGATTGATCCACAGAATCCTACCTCAGTCAGATATTAGAGACAAATATATCTATAACTGATATGTATATGACCTACAGTTTAACGCCGAATCCGAACAGCGCTGATGATCATAGATCTTTCGATCACCAGGTGGAGCCATTTTTTGGCTCATTAAACGCGAAAAATCGCGTTTGGACGCACGTGGGATTGAACTCGGGTCTACAAATCGCGAGTCAATCGCACAGAGCGGTGAACCACTCGACGCCACATCTATGTATAGATTTTAAGATTATATATGTATTTTGCGCACTGCTAACAGCGTTGATTCTTAACAGCCTTTATGTATTTACTTAATTTTTTGTATTGTTTTAAAACATATAAGAGTCTATAATTCAATTATATTATTAATTTATTAAATTTTTTATACATTTTAATTGTATTTATTTCAAATCATGTGGCGTCGAGTGGCTCA